TCTGTCAGGCTAGATTCTTCTCACTGATCAACTCATTTGAGTAAAGTTTGCCCTGCAGCAGAATTGCTGACTGGATTAATTTGGGAGAGGTCATGTAGCCCTTGAGAAAGAGAAGAAAGTGTTTTTTTCATTGCATAATGTATTTTAGCCACAATAACCAATAATTTTCCTTCAAAATTTGATAACTGTACAGAAGAAATAGTCCTTGTACTAGTTATCTTCTAATCTGCAGAACATGCATAAGCAATTCCAGAATTTCATTTACAAATCGAGGGGATTTCAATAAAATGACCTAACATTACTTATAAAATCATACTCTGTAAAATCAAAAGCATCCCTATTTAGCCTAATGCTGGCTGACAGATAAATGAGGAAAAATTTATTAGAATAAATTTGGTTGATTTGGTTGATTTCCACTAAATAGAATCAAATTATCTCCAAATTACCAAAGTTAAGTGAAATGACCAAGATTTTGTCCCTTTGGACATGGGCATTGGGCATGAATTAGAGAAAAGAGAGCAATATCTTAGGCTTGATGATATGAGTTTGAAAATATAAAATAAACCAACTTCTCCTTCCATTTTCCATCAGTAGAACCTGAGGGAGTGAAGTGTGAAATATCAACTTCAGTTTTCCCTCAAACCAGATAATAGTGAAAGATGCCTTAGTTAAGAAAATATGTGCAATATGTCACAAGAGAAGGCAAAGTTGTTTTCTGCCTTCAACATGAAGAGAGCTATTACAGAAGCATTGAGGAATGCATCTCACAGCTTAAACTTGAAAACTTCTTTCTAGTGAGTGGGGAGGTGAAGAAAATCTTCTCCTGTCAACAGAGGAGTTGAATTTTGGTGCAGGTTGGGCTGACAAGTGACACAATCTTGTTGCACAGCCTACATGGGCACAGTTTTATGTCTGAAATTTTAGAGAACTTCCACAGACTCTCATCAGGGCTTGGTGATCATACTTGTTCTCTCAAAGTACAAAATAAATTCAGATAAGGTGAGTCCAAATGCTGTTACTGACCTGAGTGGCTCTGGGTCAGCTTTAACTAAGGGAGGTATTTTGGAGATGTGGTTTTCTTACCTTAAGGAAGCCCTTTCTGCAGCACAGAGAATTAGGAGTCTTACAAAAAATTGAAAATACTAAGTTTGAACTTAAACTGTGCCAGGAAGTAGCATGAAAGTTTTAGAGTGCTGCAGTGTGCTGTTCTGAAGAGTTGTTGCTTTAGTTAAGATAGTGGCTCTCTCTGGGGCCCAATAATTTCTAATCTATAAATATGACTGGACAAAGGCTATTGACCTTACTGAGGATCAGCTCTGTGCTGTCCTTTGGTGTTGTTGGGACTGAGATAGATGAAGCTCAACTATTGCTTATTCATCATGGGATCATGATCTGTAACACTTTTAAAGGTGCATATGGACTAATAGTAACTTGGGCAAATTAAATTCAGCATCCTGTACTTGCTACACTTAGGTGTATTAGATTCTCTTAAAGGAGTGTTATTCTTAAAAATCTCTCTCTATATATTAATTTGCCAGGTATTGAACTTATGACCTTAAATATCTATACATTTTGGCAATGTTTTTATGAGAATCAAAGGAGACATTAATATTAACCTGATTTTTAACCATAGAAGCAATATTCTCCAAGTTATAATGTAACCAAGAGAGTTATGCTTTGTATATACCTGCTTAATTAAACAAGGTCCCACACTTAGGGAAGGAAGCTGCTGGGCATAAGTATTATCAGATTCTTTGCTCTCACTCCAAATCCCAGATGTATAGGCACTTGGAGTCATTGATGTATTACATTGCATTGCCTGACAGAAACCTGTTTTCAGTAAAGGGAATGAAGAATCTATAATGACTGCTCTCAGTCTATCTTCTTCATACTCTAAGTTCTAAAATATGCTGCATAAAATGTAAATGCAAACATTTTTCTTCAAGATAAAGGTCCCATAGAGCTCATTAACTTAAAACACTCTGTGTTCATGTTTGTTATTGGAAATGCACCTCTGGCAAGAACTGCTGGAACATTTTATTGTTTGAATTTAAATTTATATCAAAAAAGGAAATACAGAAATTATCCCAATTCTAAATCCAAAACTTTCAGGGCAATTATGCTAAAGTTTGATTTCTGATCCTGTACTGTCATGGCTTGCTAGTTTAAACTGTCACGCTAAGGTTTCCTGAGGCTAATATTTGGTTTGCCTCATCAGTAGATTTGTTGCGAGCTTCCCATGCAGGCATCACTGTGCAAGGGAGAAGAGAGAGAATGATCATGGGATATCACCACTGCCTCATAGGAAGCTGGCTGTTCTCATGTGCACAGACCTCAGCATTAGGGGCCTGGGATGCATGATCATTTTTGCCTTTTAATCCAGAGTGATCTCCAGCTGCTCTTTCTGTCTGCTGAGTGTGCCTCTCCATGCACCCCTCCACAGCTCTCCCCACTGACCTGAGTGTCCTGTGTGAGGTCTGGAAACAGGCTCAGGACCATGGCACACCATTGCATTCTCATCATACCTGGGTCAAGTTCCAAGGCTTTACTTCCTCCCACACAAAACACATGCTCCTCCCACACAAAACACACGCTCCTCCCCTCATTGCTGTTGTCCTCGTGCCCAGAAAAGGCTGCTCCATGACTTCCCTCTTGCTATTCTCTCTGAGTAGAATGTGTCATAAGCCAACTCAGACTCAGAAGCAATGCCACATAGTGGCCATTAGGGAGACTTCCTCCAACACCTCTCTCCCCCTACCACCAGTGTCCTTTTTGGTCCTAATGACCACACAACATGGCACTGTACATCTGAACATTTTGTTGTATCTTCTGAGTTACTGAATAAATTTTAACAGCACATCATATGCACTTGGCACTTTAGTTATACAGTATGTTAATATCTAGTAGAGCTACAATGAAACAAACACTGAATACAATTTGAAGGGATAAAGGTGTCATGATGATGGTGTTCCTATGTTTTATTTTCATCCATCAGATCATGAGTTTTATTTCTAAAATATGGTAGGAAGCAGAGGATGCCTATAACCTCAGCTAGCTTAGACATCTCATGGGATCATGTGACTGTCAGCTCTCTGATCATGTGCTTTTCAGTGGCAGCGCTTTTTGTATTAAGCAGCAATAAAGACACATCTCCATTTTCCTGTAGAACTTTATTGCACACATGGGTGCATAATTAGTAAAGATATATGAAATAACAGCTGATTCACATTATTAGAACTATGTAATTGGAGCAAACTATTCTTTCCCTATTTTTCCTGTTGAAAAATCATTAATGCCCTATTCCTCCCTAAATCAATGTCCTGGGAAGGATGTGGGTGACATCAGTTTTTCCTCTGGAGAGCAGAGCATATGTGTACTCAGCATGAAACCTCAGACTGAGGTGGGATCAGAGGAGAAGGAAAACCCAGGCTGCAAGGGTTGGTGCATGCATGGGGAGAGAGTGAAAGGATTGCCAGCATTGAGGTGGAAGAACGGGAAAGAGAGGATACCAGGAATTAAGTTACAGACAAAAGTTCCCAAGAAAACCTGGAGCATAGAAAAGTGAAAAATTATCCAAAATTATGTTACTCTAAATTATTTATGATTACTGTGTTTCAATTGAACTAATTAGATCTGAGTAGGAGAATTATGCATCAAGAGTGTGCTACTGCTCATCCTTCCCTTTCTAGTTGAGCAGCTTTCCCATGTGCATGACTCTTGCCTCCACATGTGCAGATATGTGCCGAGCAGAACAGGCACAGCACTCCTGTGTCCACAGACAGAGACCTAGACAGATGTAGAGAATCAGATGTGATCTTTGCAGAAGCATAGCAATCACACAACTGGAACAGAATGCATTCAGCCAGGAATTACTAGAAATCCTGGAAACATAAGCCATCACACAGGGGCAAGTCTCATTCCAGCCCTAACTGTAATTCAGAAAATTTTCTTTCCGTTAGTGAATAATACTCTAAATACTTGTGAAAAGAAGCTATTTATGTCAAAATTTGCAGAATCTGTGGTGTGGAAGGATGATAACAAATGAAGTCATGGATAGAACAGCATACACATGTTATAGATCACTAGGATTCCTATATAAACATATAAGGAAAAGTGGCCTGTATTTTATTTAATCCCCATGTTCATGTCATATTTCCACCGTACTTATAGTTTGAAGCTGTGAAAAAATGAATAAAAATACATGGTATGAAATGTATCACCCTCATCAGGTATAACTTTCTTACATAAAATAAGAAAACCATACATGCAAATTTTTGCAAATAAATTTGAGATTTTAGGGGTTCAAAAATAGAAACATCATTTGGAATGACAGCATATTGAAATAATATGCTAAAAGTAGGGCTGATCTCATAGCACATAGAATATATTGACAGATCAAGGACAGAATTTGGTCATGGATGCATTTCATACACTTCATGAAGTTCAGAAGACAGTCTTTAAAGAATGTTGACAGATTGAAATCAAGCTCTGGTCAAGGGAATGGGAAACACAAGGAATTTTTAAAAGTAAAGGAGAACAAGATACTGACAGCTCAGAATTTCTGTACACTGAAAGATTCTGAGTCACACATGTGAGTTGCTATTGTAGATACACCATGCTGAATTGAAGTGACTAGGAATTACCATTCCTCGATCTCTGTGACTTTCTAGTGATGCTGAGTAGTTGGTCAGCCAAGAGTCATCCAGGAAGGAAGGAAGGCCTATAATTGATGATCACTGCCCATGGTTCTAGAGTTTATAATATGTATATATACATTTTTTTTCTGATGATTACCAGAAACAATCAGAAAACAAACTTTTAATTCAGATATTAAGTTCAAATTAATAAACAGCATAGTGTTGGAGGAAAAATAATTCATTCCACTCAAATATTAGTAAAATACATTCTCTTTAAATTCTAGTCTTCTGTTTAATTTCCTAATTATGCTTAGTGGTTGTATTTTTATTTTTCTTTCAAGGAATTTAAAGAAGAATATTTTCATGGATAAATGGAACCAAACTTCACATGATTTTATTTTGTTAGGGCTGATTCCTCCTAATCACACTGGCCTACTTCTCTTGTTGCTTATCATGTTTGTATTCTGCCTTGCTTTCATGGGTAATTCAGCCATGATTCACTTCATACGTGTGGATGTCCGGCTACATATGCCCATGTACCTTCTCCTAAGCCAGCTGTCCCTCATGGACCTGATGTACATCTCTACCACTGTCCCCAACATGGTGGTCAATTTCCTCTCTGGTCAGAAGAGCATCTCCTTGCCGGGGTGTGGGGTGCAGAGTTTCTGCTTCCTGACCATGGCATGCTCTGAAGGGCTACTCCTGGCCTCCATGGCTTATGACCGATTTGTAGCCATCTGCCACCCCCTCCATTATGCCATCCGCATGAGCAAAAGTGTGTGTGCAAAGATGATTGCAGGATCTTGGACATTTGTCTCCATCAATTCCCTGGCACACACAGTCTACACCCTTCATCTTCCCTACTGCATCAATCACTTCCCCAGGGCCATCAATCACTTCTTCTGTGATGTCCCAGCCATGCTGCCCCTGGCCTGTGTGGACACCTGGGTCTATGAGTACATGGTTTTTGTGAGCACCAGCCTGTTCCTCCTTCTCCCTTTCCTTGGCATCACTGCTTCCTATGGACGGGTCCTTTTTTCTGTCTTCCATATGCGCTCCAAAGAGGGAAGGAAAAAGGCCTTCACCACATGCTCCACACATTTAACAGTGGTGACCTTTTACTATGCTCTTTTTGTTTACACCTATTTTTGGCCCAGGATTCTCCGTTCCCCAGCAGAAGACAAGATCCTGGCAGTTTTCTATACCATCCTCACCCCTATGCTGAACCCCATTATCTACAGCCTGAGGAACAAGGAGGTGCTGGGGGCCCTGGAGAGAGTGTTTGGGATATTGTCTTCCAAGAAGAAATGATTCTGCAGGCCCCACTTTGCTTACTCTACTTCTCATTTTTTTGCCTAGCTGAACACTGTGGAAGAGTGACATCTGATAGAAACATGGTAGGATGCACCTGTGTGACTTAAAATCTTTAGCACACATTAAAACCCAGCGTTAATTCAAATATGTTACTCTATAATACTGTAGTAATTTTTTTCAAAATGATATGGTAATCATATTGATATTAAAATTCTTTTAATGTTATATACAATTATAATTAAATATATCATGTTTGTGCACATAGCATTCTTATGTAAGAGTATGGGTATATTGACATTATGATTTCTATATAATTGATGTGGAATTAATATTTTGCTCATATATTCTTTTATTCTATTTCATCATTCTTGTGTATTTTTCTTCTTGGAATACATTAAAAGCTGTACTGTACACATATCAAATATGAAAATCCACATGTAGCCAGTGACTACTGTGTTGCAAAGTAAATGATTAGAGCAAAACTGCTCACATCATGGAGGCCGAGAAACAGCAACAGCATGGATCAAACCAGAACATAAGAAAAGGGAGACAGTTGATGCTGAGATTTAGGTTCATACTTGCACTGCTGAGTTGAAAGTGACCCATGAGAGTGTCCTGATATGGATAATGACATGCAGTCAACCACCATTTGACTGTACATTGTGTGGACAGATTGTCTTGAGGAATGAAAGCAGACACTGGAATGGTGGGAGAGGAAAATAGTGGAGGGACCTTATATACTACCCAAGGTCACCTCCCTCATCCACCTGGACACAACTGGGAGTGAGCTTCACTAATCTGTGAGGTGTTTCATAGACCACTGATGTTCACAACTCCGAATAACATCTTAAACACAAGTCTGGACATATATTAAACTACATTTATTGTCCAAATAGACAATCACAAGTTTATAATTCTACCTATCAAGTATACAACCAGAAATGCAAATAATCTATTCCTCAAAGTCTCAAAATGTCAGCATTTTTCAAAACCCCAAGCCCAATTCTCTGATGAGCCTCAAGGCAGCTCTGCAAAATGTGAAAAAAATATATAATTGCCATCAGCAACATCACGGAGTAAACATATCTACTCTCAAAGGGGGGAACAGGAAGATACAATAATCAAACCAAGTAAGAACAAAATTCAACAGAGCAATCACTCAATTTTATAGGTGCATGTCTACCATGCAGGGCAAGCTGTGGTAAGACAGGAGTTCCAGAGTCTTCTTCTGAAATCTTAGTGGAAGCCTCTGTGATTCAACACCTCTTGCATTCAGAGCTCCTGAAAATCAGGGCAATGTGGATGGCACAAAGATCTGCTCACATCTTCACCTGTATTTGCTCCCATTTGGACCATGGATTCAGCAGTTTCAAGTGCCTGAATGGCTGATCTTGGTGCAATACTTTACTAGGATGTGCTGTTCTAGTGAGCAGTACATCCTGATATTTTCCTTTCAAAGGTAAGTCTTTCAAAGGAGTTCACTTTTTCCACCCTTGAACCTACAGTGGGAAATGTCTGCCGAATTTCTGAGATGACCTCAAGCCATCTTTCCTATTTTTGATGCTGAACACTTGGCTTCTTTTTTTAGAAATCACACTGCCTTTGCCTCAGCTTTATAAGCATTTCCTTTCTGCCCAAGCCTCACATCATTATTCTCTGTTTTTTGGTCCTGATTCTCACTATTCTTTGGGCTGAGAGTAGCCAGCAGTACTGATGCCACAGCCTTAATGGTAGAATGCCTTGAAATTTTCTCCTTTTGATTACATAGTCCACAATCTTTAACCCCAGTCTCCCTCAGGGTCTCAATACATGGGAAAAATATACAATTTTTTTTTTGCCAAAGAGTAACAACATGGCCTCTTCTCTAACTTCCACTGGAGTCCTTGTTTCCATCTGAAAAATCCTCAGCCTGATCTGTACCGTGTGTGTTGTTTATCAGCATTCTCAACTTCTGAGCTCTGACCAGCATCATACATCAAATATCGCTCACAGCATTCTAGGTCTTCTGGAGCCTATGCATGCAAACCTTTCCTATTTCTTCCTGCAAACCAGTTCCAAAGGCTTCTGAATCACACAGTCAAATAAAGTCAATCTAACAACCCCACATGTGGGGTTGTTAAAATAAAATAAAATCGTCCTTATGACCTCAAAATCACACCCAGATGTCCTGTATTTTAACACCATGATGGGAAATTTAGGATTTTGACATCTGAATTCTTCTTCATTTCCCATGTTTGTATGTCATCCTTCCCTTCCTAGACAGGCATCCTCTCATTTAGAGACCTGGCCTCATGTCATGTGACCTGTGCACTTGCCCAGGGTGAAACACTCAAAAGGTGAAGTGTTCAGTTAGAATCTGCTCTCAGCATACTGAAATTCTTAATAATTGTGTCATAGAGCAGACAGGAAACCAGAAGACTATGCAGTGTGAAAGAATTGGCATACTTTTGGTCCAACAGCAGAGTTCCACATTTATTCTCAAGAGGAATAGAAAATACACCAGAAACTGGTGTGTCCTCTTCATGTGCACATACATTTATCCTGGAAGAGCCTGGCACCATGGCATCCCCAGAGAGAGATTGGGTCAGCCAGGGCTTGCATCAGTGTAGTGATGGCAACAGCAACCACAGGTGGGATGCAGGGTTGAATATAGGTCTTTCCTGGTGAGAGGGCAGAGCCCTCACTGGAGAAGTGCTGAGCAGCCATGGAAGTGGATTCTCTGAGCTGACCTCTGTGAACTCTGCACAGCATTCACTGCCCGTCTTGAAATAACTGGGAGTTTAGGGATGACACATGATCAATAAACTATTACAAAATATATTTTTATTTATGGTCATTGTAAGAAAAAGTAACAGGCATTTGTAAGAATTTATTACTTTCAGAATGTATGGCCTTAAAAATTGTTATAGCATGCTAAAGAGAACATCAGTAGGCCAAGACTAGACAGATAATTGAAATATCTTTTAACATTTGGAAATTTAAAACTAATGATCATTTCATATGCAAAACATTAATTTATTAGGAAGAGACCCATAAACCAATTACCAAAAAGTGAGAAAAATTTTAAATGAATTTCCTTTAACTTTAATATAAAATGCGAGAAAACATAAATGAGATTCGAAGCTTGTCTCCAAAATGGGTTGTTTTTTAAACAAAATTCACAAGTTACCACAAATATGGATACAATAAGCAAAATGTTTATTAATAAAATTATACACAAACTTTGGCCTGGGGTAAAGCTCAGTGGTAGAAAACTTGCCTAGCATGTACCAGAACTTGGGTTGGATTCCCATCAACTTAGAAAAAGATACAGTTATACACAAATGTTTAAATTTAAGTTCAAGATAAAAGGAAAATGATTTACGTAGAGTCACATTTTTGGTGACTCTCGCTCAAAAAAAAATTCTCCACAAGAATGAACAGCTCCAGATATTGTGTTTCCATAGGTACATAATAGAACTTATCCCTGTGTTTCGGCAGCTGAACACATTGCTTAAACCTCCAGAAACACAATCACCATGATCCATGTATTAAACTCTCTTATATTAATAATGTCATCACATGTTCTAATAATGAGATTCCACTTTCAGTTTTACAGACTGAAACTGAAGGTGCTCAAAGTAAAACTTTGTTTTATCTGATAAGTAAATTTGGAGGAAAATAAGCCACACAGGTCTTAAAATCAATAAACCTACCACATGATAAAATGTTACTAGTTATTTTATATATATATATATTGAGAATAGCAAAATGTTGTTTGCAATTCTAATATATAACTAGTAATTTGGAAGACAATACTCTTTATATATCAGTCCTTTACTGATACATTGTGCTATTTCAACAGGATGGCTTCATATTTTAAGTTTATCATTTATCTTCCAAATTCCTTGGGGACTTTGCACTTCCCTTCTCTGCTACCGCTCCAGAGTAACATTTTTCTGGTCTTATTGCTGGACAGTAGTAGCACTCTGTGGAGGAAGTGCCCTATGCTGAAACATTTTACAGAATGTCATGGTCAGACCTGGTTAAGGAAATGATAAGGAAGTAATGTCAGCGAATAAAACCTGTTCACAGATGTATTTCTGTAATCCATTTTCATAGAGACCAGACAAACAGCATGTGGAAAACCAAACCTGCTTGGGCAGACATTGTCTAATATATATGCAGCAGTGGCTGCGTGGGTATCAGTAGAGTGTGCTGGGCATGGGGAGGATGGCAGGGTGGATTTTTATTCCTAATTCCTGCCCCCTAGATTAAAAAATTGACATGTTCATCTTATAATGGACTGTCATTATCTCTGATATGTGTTGGCAACTCCCAGGGCTCTCATTTGTTCCTCCCTTAGGATTCTTTCTACTAAAAGCAGCATAGATTTGTCAACTGACATCCAGAGCAAGGACTTCACAGTCTCTCATAAGGTCTCAAATAAATCACTCTACTAACATGGAAGGAGAAGGCCTAGTACAAAATAGTTAATGTTATAAAATAATGACAGAAAAAGAGAAATCATATGGCATCTGATTAGGTATTCTCATTCAGAACACACTTTTTTCATTGTTGGTATAAAAAGTAAAAAAATTGAAAAAGTTTTCAAGGTGACCATAGTAAAATTATTATACAATATGCAATTCCAGATAGATAATTTGGTTTTAATTTAAAAAATAATCCTCATTAAAAACAGATTAGCAGAAATTAAATACATTCTAAATTGGTAGGAAATGCACTACAAAATGTTTATGTATAGTTATTCATGTCTGTAAAGCATTTTTCCAGATATGAGTAATTTTTTACTTTCTAAATTTTCTAAATTTGCCTTCTAAATTTTTTCTAAATTTCAGATATAAAATAACATTTTAATGTCTGTACATTATAGCATCAACATGCACCTGAGTCCTGGGGCAGAAATTTGCATACACTTTCATAGAGCAGATGTTCTGAGTCACTTTCCTCAGGGCCCCCAGCGCCTCCTTGTTCCTCGGGCTAGAGATCACAGGGTT